GAAATTAAGGCATCATGGTTCTGTTTTATCAAAAACTACTGAACAGCTTAGAAAAAAGATGTACCCTTGGCATTCTTAGTCATACCCAGCAATCAATTACTACCCAACTCGCTGATTGTTATAAAACTTTTCATTTATTTGAACCAATGTCACCAATAGGCTACTTTATTTTTATTCACATTTTTGTAGATTCACTTCAGATTTACTGTTGCTATAGGTGTGTAACAGAGTAACCCAATACAGTCTCTTTAAGTCATTAGCAATGTTATAACAGTGTTGTAAAAACATCCTGTCGATGTCTTTGATGTATTACACAAGATCTATTTTTAGAACTGCTGAGTTCAGAGATAGGGGGACTAGTCTTGGGAACACCTGCGTGAGTGGAGTATTGAATTGGAGGAACTGAGAGAAAGGTCGCAGTACATCATTGTGCTTTCTTTGTCCGATTTTCTAATTCTGGATGTTTTAACTGTGATTTAGTTAATAAAGATTGCTGTGCCCCCAAATTTGACTTGTTGTTTCTATGTGGAGTCAGGAGGCCACCAAAGCTGACTCGCTCACAGGTGTAAAAGATCATGGGCTTATAATGCTGTATAGTTGTGTAATGGATCCATTTGTATACGCCCACATGAAATGGGGGGCGTATATTGCCTTCAACCATGTCCGCCCGTCCGTCCACAATTCCTCGTAAACACTCTACAAGAAACAATTCTTGACGGATTTTGACAAAACTTGGTATGAGTGTACGTATCACCCTAATAGAAGAATCTAAAAATATTGATTATGAGTTATTGCCCTTCTTCTTGAAAACACGTTCAATTTTTAGCCCGTAAACACTCTAAATGGGACAATTCTTGGTATAAGTGTTCGTAATCACCGATGGATGAACCCTATTGAAAATCAGACGAATCGAAAAATATTAAATATTTACTATGAGTTATTGCCCTTGTTCTTGAAACGCTCGTAAACACTCTAGAAGGCACAATTCTTGATAGATTTTGACGAAACTTGGCATGAGTGTTTGTTATCAACCAAGGATAAACCCTATTGAAAATCAGAAAAATCGAAAAATATTTAGTATGAGTAATCGCCATTGTTCTTGAAAACGCTTTCAAATTTAGCTCTTAAACACTAAAAGGCATGATTCTTGCTGGATTTGGACAAAACTTGGTTTTATTATTCCGTCCATTAAATCCATTGAACATATATTTCTTTTTGTAATAAATCACAAATTTTATGGATTAAAATATTCCAATTAGTTAAACTACATTCATAAAAACTTATGGAATTTTAGAAAATGATACAAATATTTCAAAACTGTTATGGCATTGTATTAATTGAAAATCGCGATTTTTAATTTTGAAGAGCTTTGTCACGTGACCTAATTAACATACGACAAAATTTCTTAGATATTCTTAAAGTGTATGATCTCTCCTTTTTGGCGATATATCACACTTGATATTTTGATCGAAATTGCGCTTTTTAAAAATTGAAAATTTTGTACTGACTTCTATAGTAACTGTACGTAAATTCACGGTGTCTATTATCTACCGACAGTAACCGCTGCCTTAAAAAACGTACAACTTCAATTTTGAACATTATTTAACAATGTACACCTCATCAGAGAAAAACTAAAAATTTTGAAGTGGGCGTGGCAAATTCGTTGTGCATTTACTTTACCTGTAATATTTGCAATTGTCGTATGGTCAACCCATACAAAACCACACATGGTTCTTTCCATACCCATGTTATTTCCACATACGAACCATACTTAGCTTCGTATATCTCCGCTGTGTTTAAACATTGGTCAAATCACTTGATTGTGACGATGTGATTTGTATGAAAAGTACGATTAATGGCTTACAGTTAATACACTAAAATGTTCTTGGAAGTTCTGTTAGCGCTGTGCAACATATCGCGCGTAGAAATGGTATTTTATTTTTTTACCAGAACTATGTCAATACCGTCACATTATCATGGTAAAGGTAATTTATATATTAAGGCTGATCGAGCAATTGGTATTTCTACTCAAAGACAGTGAAAATAAAACATTGGAAAGCTAAATGTATAATTAAAAAAATGTATCATTGGATAACCGATAGCTACAATCCCGCCTTTAACAAGTTTGAGGCTTATTTCCGAAATAAAGGTTCTAAATTTTTGGACTTGACTAATCACTGCTAAATACCGGATGTAAAGTGTCTCGCCGCATTCACAAAGCGAAATTCAATATTAATTGCCGAATGACATTCATCTTAAGCTAAAGACACATACATGCGGTTCGTGGTCCGGTTCGGCGATGTGATGCGTTCATTTCACCGCAGCGTTTCACCGGATCGAAACAAACAACGGTATGCATTTGACATGACACATACATGCTGTTGCGGTGCGTTGCTATATTTCCCCGCTGCGTTTCACCGGACCAAAAAGTCTAGGTATTACAGGTGATTTCCATTATTTTCAGACGTCATTGTGCCGTCAACATGCCACGTCCAGCAACAAAAACTCCAAATTTAACGCAAAAGTGAACCGCGCGTATGTGTCATACCTGCCGCAACGGTACCGCATAATCGCATCGGTTTACCGCAAAGGAGACATCGCACCGTATGTATGTGTCTTCAGCTTTAACGTTAATTGCCGAATTGTCCCGGAATATCCGAATGGTGATTATGTTGTATTCGATTTTCATTCAATGCTACAGGTGTGATATGCACTGCCTCAGTGCCCGTCAGCACTGCTCTAGTTTTTTTTGTTTTTTTTGATAGGGTTCATCCATGGTTGAGGGCAATGACTCAAACTAAATACTTTTCAATTTTTCTGATTTTGGACAGGATTTATCCTTGAGTGATTACAAACACACACTAAATCCGTCAAGAATGGTGCCTACTAGAGTGTTTACATGCTAAAATTGAACGCATTTTCAAGAACAAGGGCAATAACTCATACTAAATGTGCTTGAATCATAAAGTGAAAGATTCTTGCGATATTTGGGGTTAATCTTTATTTGTATCTTTCAGAGTTACTATATCTCCATCTACACCAGTTAATATTAATGATGTTCTAGCAGATCATCAACTGAACAGTATACTAGGAGAGAGTTACGAACCACCATCTCATGATAATAAAATATTACAAGACTCTCATAGATATCAATCAAAATACATCAGTCCGGTAAGTATAATTTTATTATGAACTAGACCTGTTCGACACAGATCTGTCAGCTTCCAAGCTATTTAACGTCCTTTGCATCAACAGTTCAAACATGCGAAAAACTGTTAATGTATAGAAACGTGTCCGTAGTAGTAATATCTCTTGTAAACTGGAAAACATTTTGCCTTCTATTCAAATATTTGTCACAAAAACTCTCCCCACCCCCATAGCAAAGTTTGGTGACACAGATTTGACAATAGTGTTTTAAAAGAAACTCTGTGACACTCATCCCTACGGAGCCCCTAAGGCGCAATTGTAAACATATTTATTTATTATTTCGTTTATACGAAATAATTATATCGTTTAAACGAAATAATTAATTCGTTTAAACGAATATTTCGTTTAAACGAATTAATTATTTCGTTAAAACGAAATGTTATTTCGTTTAAACGAAATAAATTATTATTTCGTTAAAACGAAATAATTATTTCATTTAAACGAAATAATTATTTCGTTTTAACGAAATACACTATGTTTATTTCGTTTAAACGAATTAATTTTTTCGTCTATTTCGTTTAAACGAAATAATTAACCCATCTTTTTATTTCGTTTAAACGAAATAATTATTTCGTTTAAACGAATTAGTTATTTCGTTTAAACGAATTAATTATTTCGTTTAAACGAAATAAACATAGGGTATTTCGTTAAAACGAAATAATTATTTCGTTTAAACGAATTAATTATTTCGTTTAAACGAATAAACATAGGGTATTTCGTTAAAACGAAATAATTATTTCGTTTAAACGAATTAATTATTTAATTTAATTCGTTTAAACGAAATAACATTTCGTTTAAACGATATGATTAATTCGTTTAAACGAAATAATTAATTCGTTTAAACGAAATAATTTCGTTTAAACGAAATAAATGATGTTATTTCGTTTAAACGAAATAATAAATAAATATGTTTACAATTGCGCCTTAGGGGCTCCGTACATCCCAATAGTTAGACAGCTACACTTTAGACAGTTGAATGCACATTAAGTCTCATGCTTGTGAATTCAGACAATAAGATAGCTTGCCAGGCAAGATTATATACTGGCAGCTTTGATTTTAAATAGAAATATTTTGGGGTACAGTAACAATTATCATCCTTGGGTGTAAACAAGCATTCACAACAAGTTTCGTCACAATCTGTCAGGAATTGAACCTTCTAAAGTGTTTACGAGCTAAATTTGAACACGTTTTCAGGAACAAGGGCTATAATTCATACTAAATATTTTTCGATTCTTCTCATTTTCATTTCCTTCGGTGATAACAAACACTCACACCAAGTTTCATCAAAATCCGTTAAGAATTGCGTATTCTAGAGTGTTTATGAGCAATTGTGGACGGACGGACGGACGGACGGACTGACTTGGTGACGGCAATATTGATTCTGAATTTCTATTTAAAGTCGGTCATTTCAAGATGGCGACTGAACATTTATATCTGGGTCTATTTTTGTCATTTTACTTTATTTCTATAATTAATTATAACACATTGCAATAATAATTTTTCAAATATCTGACGTCAAAACCGGAAGCGATATAAATGCCCAGGAATCTAATTTTGTGTTTTGTTTATATTTTTGTTTAGGAGAAAGTTGGACATATATCAATTGGATAATTGACAATTAACAGCTGCAATTGTTGAGCTCTTGTCAGCTGGTAACGTAATTATTTATATATCTCTCAGAAGAATTTTTAATAGTACCCAGTTGCTCTTGGTAGTTTAAACATATTTGATTACTTCAGGAAGAAGAGTTAATAGAAGAAGGTAAAGAAAGATATGGTGATATATTTCTAGAAGTTATACACATTCCCCATAGTAAACCAACATTGGGTATGGCCATAGAAGGTGGGGCCAATACTCGTCAACCAATACCACGAGTCATCAATGTACAGGTGAGTCGAAATTTGTTCTCCTTCTCTGAAGAGAAGAAAGGGATATAGATATTGTCAGTAGAGCTAATCCTCAAGCAATGTGTAATGTTAGTTCCTAGTAGAGTTATGTGATAGGGGTTGGAAGCCAAAATCAGGTCAGCTGTGGCATCAGAATTTTTTTTAGGAAGATTCGAACTCACAGCATATAATGGCCTAGCAGATGATAATCGGCATTCAACCAACTGATCTATTCCTCTAAAACCCAGAAGAGTAAGGTAAAGGTATGAACATGTTTATAGTCGCCATGAAAGCCAATAGATATTCACTACCCTCAAAGAAATATATTAGGTCAGTGAGATCAAATGAAAATATTAAGCTATGTTATATTAGTTCAGTTAGATGTCCTGCTGGTATAAAAAGTAATAAAAACAATGATTTCACTTCATTTAAAAAGCTGTTCATTACAAACACACCAGATGTCCCATTTTGTTTTGAAAAGTGATAAGGATAACAAGTAATCTGTTGATCCTTTGATAATAATTTTCATAACTAAATCCCTTTAAACTTTTTTTTAAACATTTTCTTCTCAGCCTGGTGGGTCAGCATTTGAATCGGGACATTTACAAGTTGGTCATTTAATACTGGAAGTCAACAGATTAACCTTAATAGGAATGAATCATTCTGAGGCAGCCAAGACAATAGCAGAAGCTTTCAAGAACAAGGAGCGTGATGGCATGGAACTTTTAGTGACAGAAACAGGAGCAGAGGTGAAAGGTGCCCTAGAAAGTTGTGAAGTGTTTAGCATTGATCTGTGAACTAAATAATATATGAAAAATAAATGAATCATTGATCTATGTGAACAAAGTTGTGAGATTAAATTGTGTGTGAAATAAAATAATGAATGATAAAAACACTATCAGTTCTGTGAAAAGTAGCCGATATGTTTTTGGCACTTATTAGCGAATTGAAAGAGTATGATTTGAGCCTAATGTATAGAGTATGAAACACAGAATTGAATTAGAACCACCGCCTTGTAAAAACCATAGAAACACTGACTTTAGGCAGAAGTTAATTAATATTGCTTAAAATATTGTGAAAGAATGTTGGTGATATCATAGGCATAATTATTTGTAAGACAGAGCATGGTACCTGATATTTTGCACCAAAATTACTTTTGATGCAAACCTAACACCTTTTTGGGAAAAATATGCTCATTTTAAACCTATGGGTTTATTAGTTTGTTGATCTTATTGAATTATTATTATTCCATAATACTACCATGAAGTACTAATAAACTTCTACTTATTATAATTATTACAAGTGTAAATATTTGATACAAACAATGATATATTCATAATGTAAATATAATATGAGGCAGCTTTTAAATCTTTTTCTTAGTATTTTATTGTCTTTCGAGGAATGTAAATGTTACTTAAATTGATTTTACCTACATTTTATTAGTATTCTGATTTTCCTAAATATTTTCACCTTCAACAGGAAAGGAAAAAGAACTTTCCATTAGGGCGCCCTTTATCTAGTGTGTACGACCTGACCGGTTTCAGGGAAACTAAGCAAGAGTACGATGGGTAATTACCTGTCAACATTACAGTAAGTGTTACTGTGACAGTAATCAAACTACTAACAATCGTGCCGAGAATCATACATAAGAATTGTACAGATGTATTATTTATTGTATATTGACACGTCATGTACGCTTTTGTATCCTCCTAAAACCAGGTAGGAACGATAGATTCAATGTAAGATTCAAAAGTCGTGTTAAAGACTGGTCAGAAAGATATTAGCCTACCTAGTATGCTGCCACTGGTTAAGCTTACTTTAATTTTCACCTTTAGACTTGTACCAAATTATCCATCATGACTATTAATTATGACATTAGATCAAGATAGCTTGCTAGGCAAAGTAATATGCGCCCACTGGCAGCTTTGATTTTAAATAAAAATATTTGGCAGTACAGTGACAATCACCAGTATGAAATATTCAACCTTCAGTCATACACCTTTTTAGGGCGATACTGAATACTATTATGAAGTTTTGTCAAAATCCGGCAAGAATTGTACCTTTTAGTGTACCTTTTAGAGCTAAAATTTGAAAGGGTATTCAAGAACACTTTTTTTTTTTTTTCGATAGGGTTCATCAATGGGCAATAATCAACAATTTCACCAAGTTTCTTCAAAATTTGTCAAAAATTGTACATTCTAGAGTGTTTACAAGCTAGAAATTGAACAAGTTTCCAAGAACAAGGGCAATAATTTATACTAAATATTTTTCAATTCTTCTAATTTTCAATAGGGTTCATCCTTGGGCGATTATAAACACTCACACCAAGTTTCGTCAAAATTCATCAAGACTTGTGCCTTCTAGAGTGTTTACGAGCTCAAAATTTAAAGCGTTTTCAATAACAAGGGCTATAACTCATACTAAATATTTTTCGATTCTTCTGATTTTTGATAGGATCATCCTTGTGTGATAATAAACACTCACACAAAGTTTTGTCAAAATCCGTCAAGAATTGTGCTTTCAAGAGTGTTTATGGGCTAAAAATTGAACGCCTTTCCAAGAACAAGGGCAATAACTCCTACTAAATATTTTCAATATTGCCTTATAGAGTGTTTACGAGCTAAAAATTGAACGCGTTCTCAAGAACAAAGGCAATAACTCATATGACCAACTAATTTTCACATAATTAATAGACTTATCTATTGCTCTGTGACCTAGGCCAGTGCTTTCATTGAGACTCGTCTCAATACACCCTAATCCCAATTGAGCGTATAGAAATTGACTTGCCCGAAGATGAAACTACCAAATTCCGTCAATCAGGGATTGAGACATTGAATACAGCAAGACCTATAGGACTAAATATTCATCATAATGTAGGCATAGCACCCTTTGTTGTCCCGTTTAATACAACCAGCAATCGAGCAAGCAAGATAGTTCATGCCCACTACAAGAGCCTTCAAGAAAAATTCCCCCATGTCTATAAGCAGAAAATGATAGTTGCATATTCAAAAAATAAGAACTTAAATGATAATATTGTTCATAGTAAACTAAAAACAATCAGCACATAACAGATACTATACTTCTCGCCCATCGGGCGAGTTATTTTTTCTAATTTCAGATCAGAATAAGAACAGAAGAAAACCCAATATCAAGACCCTTAATCCTAATTTCTAAATAAAGTGTCTGCTCCACCCTAGGCCTGTACATTTGGGAGAATCAAACCCTCCCTTCCCCGAAAACTAAATATTTCTGATTTTCGCTAGAGCTTATCCTTTGGTGATAACAACACTCACACCAAGAATGGTCAAAATCCGTCAAGAATGGTGTCTTGTACGAGCATTTGTCGACGGACATGATGGCAATATACGCCCACATGAAAGAGAATCAAAAGAGAGATTTTGTCTTTTTATCTTCTATTGTTAGTATCAGTTATGTTAAAATCTTATGTATTTATGCCCCAATTGTGCCTTAAAGGGATACTACGTTTTAGAATACACTCGTCCTGTGGCTAATATTTCTGTTTAATAGTGACCATTGGTTAAATAAGTATGCATCCCACACTTTATCAAGTTTGAAAAAGCGACAATAAAACTATAATCAGAATTCAAAAAAAAAGTGAGCAAGCGATGAATCCGTTCAGTTTGAGAAAAATAGAGTCTGGGTAATCAATGCTAAAACAGGAAACAATCATCTTCCGGTGTATACAAACAAACTTTGCCAATGATTAATATTCGTTGAAAATTGTGTCAGTGGTATTCATTCTAAATTATATGAAGTGCTTTTTCGAGGAGTCGCTTTATCTCCTAATATTATACAATATGACAATGTCGAGGTTAATTTCAAGAGTAGAGGTCAAGGACGCGGGAAACCCCACTAGAGAGTTACTTCACCTTGTGATTACCTAGACTCACGATTAGAAAATCGCTTAATGGATGTATTAAGCGTTTTATAATTAATTACTTGATTTTGTGGAGATGTAGTGTAATAACTTTTGGTGGTTATCAAACCATTGCAGCAACCATGTGGTAGGCAGAAGGACAACACATAGTATAGAGATGTTTATTGGTGGGTGATGTAATAGAGAGAGAGCATACAGAATAGTGCATGACAATATATACATGGAATAGTCTATTATAATAATATAGTTTGAAGGGGTGGTAGGTTGGGTTATTCTATTATAGATATTATTAGGTAATACTATGACATCCCCCTTTTTCTGTAAATGAAGTTAAAATGTACATCTAGATATTGAAGCTTGATTTACAAATTAAATATAAATATTTTTGATGAAGTTTTTTTTAAAAATTTTAAGTAAAAGAAATGATTTGATTATTTTTTTCTTTCTGAACATATATACAAATGAATTTTAAATGTTTCTAAAATATAATTATCACAGTTTATCACAGTGTAAAGTTTTGGAATATATACAATTACTCTAAAGGTCTAGTCTTGTTGGTGGTCTGCTCACTCTTCCAGAGCGGGTTTGTATACCTGGTTCAATTTCTGAATGGTTAGTCTTTTCTGGATCTTCAATTTGTTCTGTTGTATGAGTTGAGGTTGGTGATTGGTTTGGTGAATTTGTTTCTGGTAGTATTAGGTCTGGTTCTTCTGGTATTTCAAACTTGTCTTTTCTTCCTCGTTCTTTCAAAAATGTTCTGTTTCTTCGAACTGTATGACCATTAGGTAATTCAACTTTATATGATCTGTCTCCTAATCTTTCTTCGACTATTGCAGGTCCCCATTTGAGTGTTTTGGGATTCTGTACGTTGACATATTGACCAGAAGAGGGCGTAGTGGTTTTACGTTTCTATCATGGTATTTCTTTTGTGTTTCTTGTCTTTCCATGAGTCTCTCAGTAATCATTCTATCTTGTGTGTTGGTATTAGCTATTGGTAGATTGGTTCTGTATTTTCTTTTGTTAAGTAGTTCTGCTGGAGATGGTAAATGGTGGTCAATTGGTGTTGCTCTCAGGCATAATAATGCCATAAGTATGTCGCTCTTGGTTTGAGTAGCTTTCTTCATGATTTTCTTTATAGTCTGTATTTGTCGTTCTATAAAACCATTGCTTCTGACGTAATTTGGTGAACTGGTAACATGGGCACTGTCTGAAATTTTCTGTGAATATTCAGGACATATATAAGTACCCCTCTGCCAAGTTTCAAATCGATAGCTCAAAAGGAAGGAAAAGGGGTCGAAACTGCAACAGTGCCGTAACGTGTTCGAAATCGTAATCTCTGGTAAATTGTTTGTAAGCTGGACTAGTATATTGTGGTCCGTTGTCGCTTATCATTTTCTGTGGTATTCCATGTTCTGTGAAAGTTTGTTTGGTTATCGTGACTATCATGGAACCAGTACTCTGTCCTTTTGGTATTTTCCTGACAATTGGAAATTTGCTGTAGTAGTCAGCAATTATGAGGTATTCATCGTTGTCATGATAAAAGATGTCAGTTCCTAAGGTATGCCATGGTTGGCTTGGGACAGAGTATTTAATGGGTGGTTCCTTAGACTGTGATGTTTGGTATTCTAGTTGATCTATATCTTGATTAATATTTCTCCAAAAGACTGATGTTTTCGCTCTCAATTTACATTTCTCTGCTCCCTGGTGTGCCATGTGTACTCATCCCAATATTTCTGCCTGTAGTGATCGAGGTATGATAATTCGTGTCCTTTTAGTATTATACCACTTTCAACTGCCAGTTCATCTCTATATGACCAATATGGTGCGAGTGATTTTGGTAGGTTTGCTTGACGTTCCGACCAGCCATTGAAAATAGTTTCTTTTAAAGGTGCTAATTCAGGATCTGATGCAGTTTCATCTCTGATGTGGTCTAATTTGTTGGTTGAGAAGTTGGTCATTACAGTATGTATCTGGACATCCATATCTGGTATTGGTTCCTTTTCTTGTGGCGATAGACGAGAAAATGCGTTGGTAAATCTTTTCCTGGTTTATAGTTTATGGTCAAATCGAATGGTTGGATTCGTAACAACATACGTTGTAACCTGGGTGGTGCTGCTGTTAGGTGTTTCAGATGAATACTTTGCAGTGGTTAGTGGTCACTTTCTACAATGAATGGTCTGCCATATAAGTAGGTATGAAATCTTTCGCATCCATATACAACAGCAAGCATTTCTCTTTCGATGTTGGCATATCTGCTTTCGACAGGGCTTTGGAACAAAAAGCAATTGGTTTGTTTTCTTGTATTAAAACGGCTCCAAGTCCTCTGAGAGAAGCTTCTACTTGTAGTACGACATCCTTGCTTGTGTCGAAATATGCTAAGGTTACTTCTTTACATATGCTATTCTTTATGACGTTGAAGGCTTTTTTGGTGTGAAGCGTTCCATGTAAATTCTGATTCTTTCTTAGTTAGTTCTCTGCTAGTGATGCTAAGTTTGGTATGAAAGGTCCCATATAGGTGCTAATCCTAGGAAGGTTTGTAATGATTTTACGTCTGTTGGTGGTGGCATTTTCTCCAGTGCTGATATCTTCTGTGGATCTGGTTTCATGCCATCTTTACTGAATATCAGGCCAAAAAATGTGATCTGTGGTTGTTTAATCTTACACTTTTCTGGGTTGAAGATTAGTCTATTGGCTTTGGCTGTAGTCATCAGTCTGTGCAGGTTGGAATCGTGTTCTTCCGTGTTTCTTCCAAATACACACACGTCATCTGCTATGCTGATGGTTCCAGGACAATCTTCTAAGGTTTGGTCCATTTTCTGCTGGAACACATCTTGGCTCATCTTAAGACCAAAAGGCATACGTAAAAATCTGTACCGTCCAAATGGACTGTTGAAGGTAGTGTAATAGCTCGATTGTTCATCTAATACTACGCTCCGGTAACCATGTTTAGCGTCAAGTATTGAAAATACTGTAGCACCATTTAACTTTGGTAGAAGAATCTCTATAGTTTGGGTAACATGGTGGTTTCTTCCGATCGCTTGGTTGAGATCTTTTGGATCGAGGCAGAGTCGCAGACGTCCATTAGTTTTCCTTCTAAATACCAATGAATTTATCCAATCAGTTGGTTCATCCGCTACTCTTTCGAATTACTCCTAACTTTACCATTTCATCCAATTCATTCTTGATATCGTCTCTTAATGTCAGTGGGACTTTCCTTGGTGCGTGTACTACTGGTGGTATATCTGGATCCAGTTTTATGTTGTATTCGCCCCTGAACTCTCCGATACCAGTGAATCTATCAGGATATAGGTTGATTAGCTGTTGTTTATCTCGTATTATTGGTAGGGGTGCAGTTTTCTCGATCATGCAATTCATGGTGATCAATCCTAAGGTATCCCTTTAAGTTGTTTTTATATTACATAAATATTTAAAAACGTATTCGAGTTGATTTAATTACAATGTATAAGGAATGACCTGTAGTTTATCGATGTATAAACAGAAAAAACCTGTGTACACTGTATAAATGCGCGTAGCGGATACGTGTTTAAATATTTATGTAATAAAAACAACTTAAGGCACAATTAGCGCATAAATACGTACGATTTTAACATAACGTTAATGAACTGATACTAACATTAGAGACGTCCTAGAGAACAGCCAATCAGCAATAAGTAGGTCAACTATTTATAGTCTACTGAATGAAAGTATAATTATTGAAGAGGGGGTTTTAAGTCCAGAATAATGATATTGTTGGAATGTGGAGTGTGCACATTAGAGGGAATTTAGTAAATACCTTTAACCCCCAGTGATGTGTCGATTGCGGCTCTGTTGACGTTCAAAGGAACGACAGTGACGCCGTATTGTGGCCTTGCCAATCAAACTCAATGATAAAAGTAGTCCGTTAAGGGGCGGAGCTTATATTTACATTCTGTTACACAGATCTAAACCGAATGCACGTAACCGCTGTTATCCAATCAAATTGCGTGATACCGTGTAAATGCAATCGTGATTTAATTATTCCATTATGACTATGATATAAATGAATAAAGGGATATCCATCTACATGTGATTTTTGAAGTATTTTTCTTATTCATTAATTTTCATTGTGAAACTAAATTTATTAAAGAGATAGCTTGCCAGGCAAGATAATATACGCCTACTTGCAGCTTTTATTTAAAATAAAATATTTTTACAGTATCAATTAACAGTATGGAATATTCAACCTTCAGTCATACACTTCTTTTGAACTTTTTAGGGGGATACTGTATAATATTATCAAGTTTTTTCGTCAATATCTATCAAGAATTAGGCCTTCTAGAGTATATACAGGATAAAACTTGAAAGCGTTTTTAAGAACAAGGGCAATAACTAAGATAGCTTGCGAGGCAAGGTAACATACGCCCACTGGCAGCTGTCAGAAACGATAACCCAGTCTTTAGTGACTATAGTATGAATTTTCTCATATTGAAGAAATTTTATTAGTTTGAATTCAATTATATATATATGCCAGTTATTTATGCTGAGTAATTCTACAAAATTTTTAAAGATAGCTTGCGAGGCAAGGAAAGATACGCTCACTGGCAGCTGTCAGAAATCATAAAACAGTCTTTAGTGACTAAAGTATGAATTTGCTCACATTTTTATTAGTTTGAATTCAATGATATATATATTTATTGCCACTTATTCATGCCGAGTAATTCCACAAAATTTTTTAAAATCAATATCAATAACCCAAATACAACAAATTATCTCATCAATATACAAGATCACACCATGTTTCATTAAAATCAGTTGACAACTGTAGTCTCTAATGTGTTCATCGAAAATGCGTCAAGTTAGACTTTGTCCGAGATCTTATCAATTCCAATGATTACACTAAGTTTCATTAGAATCGGTTGAAAACTATAGCTTCATTCCTGCTCACGAACTATTTTTAACAAATTTCGACGCGTTTTAATAAAGTCAAGGGCAATAACTCAAAAACCGTTCCTCGAAAATGCGTCAAGTTAGAACCACATAAAAACCGTTCGCATCTTGTTAAACCAAGCTGTCTGCCCTTTTCAATCATTAAAGGGTGATTTGAGCACTGTATCTTACATAAGGCAATACGATACACACTAACATTGATATCAAGATAGGTTTCTCTATTGACACTTTCTTTAAAGCCTGCATAGAAGTCTAGCTTTGACACTGTTTGTATGTTTTCGTGCCATAACTGATTATCAATATCAATACATCTTTGTTTGAAAATTTTGCTGAATGAATTGTCAACTGTTTGATTGTACCAAACCTCAGCAAACCCGTATGCACTAAGTACATTTTTTATCTTTAGTGCCCAGCAGTTGATGTTCTTTTCAGCCAAATCATATTGATATCGATATATTACAGATAATATTCTATCTAATCCAGTATTTGATTAATCTGTTATACAAGTTAACTGTCTGACTTAAGGAACCTATCCTGCACTTAATTAATGTCAGGAGCAGGGTGGAATCCCCACACTTCGCTACCGTACAATAACATAGGTACAATTTTAGCATCGAAAATATGCAGTTTAATACGGATTGGCAACTTATAGAAGTTTGGTATTTGTGATTTAAGGATTCTGATAGCCTTAGAGGCTTGTTGGGCCAATGTCTTCTGGGCTTGAAACCAGGAGGTGGAAGATGCCAACTGAACACCTAAATATTTGTACGGAGGTACTATTTCTAAAGCAATTCCATCAAGAACAAATTTCTCATATTTCCTCAATTGGCCACCTTTCCGAAAGACTGCAATTTTACTTTTGCTACTGTTAACTTTCAATCTCCATTTTTTGCAATAATTTGTCAGTTTATCGAGCCTATTTTGCAATCCTTTAACCGTACTGTCGAAAAGTACAATATCGTCGGCAAACAATAATATAAATAGTTCTATCGTACTAACATTAATGCACCTTTGATCATCATTGCTCAAATCAGAAACAATGCCATTTATGAAAAATGAAAACAAAAATGGTGATAATTGGCAACCTTGTCGTACACCAAATGCAGCTTCAAATATATCGGTGCTACCTGCCTTTGATTCCATTTGCAGAAATAGTTTGATTTACAGTTTGTAAATCAAACTATTCCTGCAAATGGAA